TGAACTCATTTTTAACCGAAACGTTGATTTGAGACCTAAAAGTAAAGTACTGCTGAGGGGTTCTTGTCGAGTCAGGGGTCAGTGTAAGGAAGACAGGTTTTTCAAGACCCAAAGTTTGATTTCATTGGATAGTCCCACCTATCACGTGTAATTATTAAGCATCTTGTCTACAGCAAACATAATTCTTTTTCATAGACTTGTAAACCAGATTAGATCAGATTAAAACAAAGCGGGCGGAGGACTTTGCGAAAGTCTACCAACAGGAGGATGACTGTAGTAGCCTATTGCTTCGTTTAGAGTATCTGTAGATTCACGATGATCCGCACGTTGTCTTACTCAGCCAACAAACGTCCCTTTTTATCACTGATTATTTCGTTTATTTGCAGGTCGACTAGGAACATAATTAATTAGGTTTACAAAGTGCTTATTCTATAAGATAGCGATACAAATCAAAGGAAAATTAACAGTTACATGCCAACATTGGCGGCGTTGCTCTCGTAGTCACAAATCATGGGTGCACGAGTTGAAATTCAATACTTATTAAATGTCAATCATACAAACCTGTATCATATGTGTATTAGCTGATCTATTGTCAACAGTTACATGGCTCCCCTAAATTGTAGAAACAATTTAAAAAACATCACAAATAAATTTATATTTATAACGCAATTAGAGTTCTTTCTCTGTGTCAGTGTTCATAACAAATGAATTATAATCACGTTCGTAATCAATATTTTTAACTGGAACAAATAATATATCTTGCTTATGTGTTGTGTGGCTCCTCGACGGGGTCGCCCGGTCTTTAGTCTTGCGCTTTGCACAGCAGCACTAGTTTGTGAATTGGTCTCTCTAATGTGGAAAGCGGCCCAGTTCCTGACTTACGACCAATATCAACTTTCACCTTGCGTACCAATCCATCGTCACTAGGAAGGGCTTCGGTTACACGAGCCAACTGCCAGCTGCTGCATGGTACATTATCCTACTTCACTATGACGATGTCCCCCACTTGCATGTTCCTTCTCTTGTAGGTCCACTTTGGTCTTGGTTGGAGGGACTRTAAATACTCTTTCTTCCACCAGAATTCATTAGAAAGATGTTGGACTCTTCTCCACCATTTCCTTGAGTACAGGTCTTCCCTTTGGAAGTTCCCTGGTGGGGGAAGAACAAGCTTACCCTTCATGGTAAGCAAGTGGTTCGGAGTCAGTCTTTTGTTGGGAGTGTCCATAACCATCGAAAGGAGAATGTCTCATTTTGGCATTAGGATATCAGGTAACAAAATCTAGTAATTTTTCTTTAACGTAGTTTTTATCTTGTAAGACAAGAACATTGAGCGTAAGAAGTAAGCCATCCAAGCATAGAAACGTTTTAAAAGTTTACAACTGAAAGCCTTCTAGCACATTACGTCTAGCRTCGCTAGTAAATAAAACGAAACCGGAAAACTTGGACTTTTCTTGGAATATTGGAACTCATGCCCAGTGCCTCTCGTTTTAACGAAAGCTATTGATTATTTAAGGGATTATTTTTGGCATTGGGGATCAAAATACGTGAGTTTTTACGATCATGGATCACGCTTTTGTGTTSAAATTTGGGATCAATCAACAAAAAAAAGGAAAAAAAAGAAGCTCGTCACGTCATCACGAGTGCGTAGTGACACAGGGTCAATACCTGAATACATCCCTATCCAAATGATCTTGGATGCCAAATACAAAAGAAAACCCTCGTCACGTCATCACAAGTGTGTAGTGACACAGGGTCAATACCTGAATAGATCCCTATCAAAATAATTGAAATAATTGGGTATTTGTGTATAAGATATCTCCTAGTATATATGGAATCCCAAAGCAACGCTACCGAACGCGCGGATTTAGAGTATGAGATGCCCCAATACGAGTGTAGATTTTGTGGGTATGTCTTTACTACTTATAGTTCTAAGGTGAGCTCGATGATAAGCAACCAGTAAAGTACGATAAGAATAAGGTTAAGATCTCACCTTCTTCAGGAGGACCATCCCGATAGCTATGACCAATATCCAGATGTTATTCCCAACGAACTTCAACAGCTTCCCGCCTGTCTTTAGCACTAAGGAAAGGACACTACCTAATAGGCCTGGAATGCTAGCTGCCATTTTTTTACCTAGATTGACTAGTCCATTGCCTACCGCTTTGACGACCCCCGCTCCGGTAGATTTAAGCATGGAAATGATTACTCCTATCGTTGCGGCTAAGCCTGCTGCTAAGACAGTAGGGATCCCATATTTGATGAGCAGTC